AAGGTGATTCTCTCATTGACCTTAAATAGAAATCATTGTGGCAGGGCCACGCCATAGTTCGGCTGTTGCACGTATGTGCAGGCTTATCCGGTGATACCACGGCCCCATAGAAGACTGGTGTGAAGTGAAAGTGTTATACTTTCATGTTTCTTTTGGTGAGTGAGGTAACCAGGGCGCAATCTTTAATGGTTGGCAATACATCTGCGATAAAAATCCTAACAACATCTCCTGAATTATAGCAAGTTGGCAATACTGTTCAACTGTCGTTGCGCTTTTTCACAAACGCACGCACCTGTTGGTTCAGGACGGAACAGTGACATATGCTCATCAATACAGAGCAAATAAGAAGCTTATTAAACACAGTTTGGATTACAAATCGATAGGACCGTTCCGAAACGTAGGTCGGCGGTTTCGGGTGATAACGACAATCGATTTCACGTCGCGACCGCAAATTATCAGACTCGATTATCGGCAACGTCAACGTGATTCCTGGCGCCAGTAGCAGTTGGGTTAACATGGAGATAACCATTCACAAGGTTTTCTTTTTTATGTGACAAGTTGCCAAGCGAGCAGGCGGTTTACCGGATGTTAAATAAAAACCGCCGCGCATGGACATCTGCTACACCCGAAGGTTACTGATGCGTTGAAATTGGGCTCCGGCTACCTCACTCACCAGACGGAACGCGAATGTATTATACTTCCACTTGACACGGGTCTTCTGTGAGGTCGTAGTACTTACCCGGACGAGCTTGCCCATTTGTGCAACAGCCGAGGCAGCTGCGTGGCCCTACCACAGTTTGGTAAGGTTAAATTAACCATCGCACACAAATACATTAACATAACAAATTAACTGCAGGATTGTTACTCAGTTTTCTGTCAACGTGCAGCCTTGTTCGGCGTCAAATGACCTGCTTTATTGGAGAAAGGCAGGCTTATGTTGGATTCTTACCCAGTAAAACAGAACCTCTTACAGATGAAACTCCTCTGCAACGAATACAGCTTATCCAAACTAGCTAGCTCTTCCGCCGTGCCGTTGGGACGTGAAACCTTTCTACCTAGATTCACATAAATACTTCTTCCTTCGATAATAGATAATTAAATGTTTTCAAAGCATTTTCAAATTTAATGGCATCGCTGAGAGAATATAGTGAAGTGAAATTTAAAAATACTTATGGGCATAGCACAGTAGTATAAGTGATCCAAGCCACAGTATCTAATTTGAAACATTTGCTTTATTACGTTGGATCGAGCATCGCGGTAGACAAGTAAAATAAAACAACGCGGTAATTTGACAGTCGCGCTGTCACCAACTTAGCAGAAATAAATAGTAGCAAAATGTTCACCGGCATCCGTACAAATCGCACCTCCGAGCAAATCTATCCATTTGCAACCAAGAACTGTTCCAAGTTGGAAATATTAAATCGCACCGCTATTAATTTCGGTGAAACTCGCCTGTGAAATTCTCAAAAATGGCTCATAATCTATAGGATGGGATTTCGGCAGTCGCCGGCCGTTCGACTTCTATTGGCTTGACTCCAGAAAACGACCTTAAAGGCGCGTCGCGATTGCACTCGTCCATGGTGGTAGTAGCATTTGAAAATTGCGAAATTAGATTTTTATTGAGATTTCTCTGGGTACTGCTGTATAAGGGAATGTATATAGGTTATTTTAAATTTGTCAAATTTTGAATTAATCAAATCATTTTCTTAAGTTTATGCATTATGATGTTATTAAGTCTATAGTCGAATGTACTTTTGGTAGGATAAAATTAATAAATTATTGAGAGAAACCCTGTCACATTTTAATTCATTTAAATCTTGATTGGAAATTATTAGTAGTTTTTGCATTACCAGCTTGAGTACTAACTAATTATTTATTGTTACTAATACTACTGCTACTACTACTGCTGCTAATTATGTGCTAATTAATATTTGTTATAATATAGGTATGTATTATATTTGATGTTTTTATTTTTCTACATATGTATTAATGTAATTATTTTTGCACCGTTATCCCGCAACTTTATTATCTATATTCTGTACCCTAAGGTTGCTTGGACGAAATTGCTACCTTAGCAATAAGGCCGCCTGTATGTACACTATGTTTCCTGTATCTTATTTCTTTGTATTTCCTTGCGTGCAATAAAGTATATTCTATTCTATTCTAATTAATAAACGTCTATTTAAAATACGGATGACGGTGAAATATTACCAATTAGCAATATCTGTACACAATGGCTAGCAGATAAAATTCGTTAATATGTTTTCTGCTTATAAAATTTTTGGTTCCAATATTCTGCTGAATTTCATATATGTGATATACCCAAAATTTAACAAAGTGTGTTATCGGATCAACGATATGGATAGCTATTAATCAACCCGCACTAAACAGTACAAAAAATGTTTGTTACGACGAGATAAAGTTGGTCGATCCGATACGATATATCAAGTGTGAGAGAATTCGAGCGCCGGAATATCGTCATTTCAAACAATGTGATTTTGAGAAATCGCCGCCAGTGGACGGGAGGAGTTACGAGGGCAGCATACTGAGCATAAGTCATAGCTGGTTCCGAACAGAGCGGCAGCTGCAAGTGTCGCTCTGTGAAAAGCTTGTCAAAAAATTTTTAAAACATTTCACTCTTTCGGTGAGCACAGTTTCGTGTTGACATGCTGTTGTTTTCCTTTCTCGTGTTTTATGTGTTAGGATGGTTGTGTACGATCTTTGCTGTGTGTTATTAGAAGAAAGAGGAGTTTATAAGATTTTGTTTTACCCTTCCGTCATTATCGCAATTCAAGTCAATTTTGTGATTGTTATTTCTTCTTATTTTAGTACTTAGGGTGTATGCATTTACCATACTGACTATTTTGTTGTAAAATATTTTTCATTATTTCATTTTCTTTTTAGATTGGACTTTTATCGGTACAATGAATGATATGAATTTTCAAGTTTTCAAACGACTTCGAAAAGCAGGCGATTTTCAATGTATTTTTTGGGTTCCGTACCCAAATGGTAAAACGTGACCATGTATGTTACCAGGCTGTATCTTATGAACGATCGATAGTTAGGCAGTTGAAATTTTCACGAATGATGTAATTTTACCGTATAATAACAAATACTAAAAAAATAACAAAAAAAAATTTAAGAAGGGCTCCCATTAAACACGATGATTTTTAGCCGTTTTGATAACTTCCACCCGATCTTCTACATTCTTAGGGATCAGTCCATTGGCTCTCGTGTAGTCGGTACATCGTGTATTGAAAAATTAAACATCACAAATTAAATTACCGGACCAAAAAAAACACAAAATTTGAAATTATAGAAATCAGAGTGGGGAAAATGCCGTAATAAACTGTACATCGCTTAACTTGTGTTATGGGCGGATTTGTGAATGTTATGTGCAGCGAGATTTTGACATGTAGAGCAGTTTAAGCGCTTTTTAATTGGGCCATCAAACGAGAATTATAGCTGACTTGCAGCGAACCAGCATTTCGCAGGGGCTTAGTTAACATATTTAATATGCGCATTAGCCTTCAGCGAATGCTCAAGTGTTACCGCGGTCTGGTCTCTTAGCAACGCTTATGACGGTTTGTACACGGAAAAAAAAAAATGCATTTTACCCTTGGGTGGATGGATATAACTTGTTGTATACATTATGTTGCTGAATACACCAACTTTGTATTTATTATCTTATTCAATATTATGTAAATTATTAATTGTATTTATACGACCGGCGTAAAGTGGAAGTATGACAAATACTTTCGCGTTTCTACTGGTGAGTGAGGTAGCCGGAGCCTAATTTCCAAAAAGGTTGTCAACGCATCTGAAAACCCTCGGGTGTAGCAGATGTCTATGGGCGGCGGTATTCACTTAACATCAGGTGAACCGTCTGCTCGTTTGGCAACTTTTCACATAAAAAAAGTGTTTATCTGTAAATTAGTTAATTTGTTCTTTTTTATTTTTGTAAACGGTGTTTGTGTACGATCAATAAAGCTTTTTCTATTCTATTCTATTCTTTTTAAATGATATCCACACCAAAACAGTGCGAAGGCTTCTGTGCTTAACGTGACATTTTAGTTCCAAATAAAGAAATTAAAAAAAAATCCAGAGGTCTTTATTGTAGAAATTAATTACCACAGAACTGAGTATACGTGTAGTAATAAACAATATTATATAATATAGCTGTACCTCACCAACAGTGGTCACGTGGATTAAGTACTCATTTACAAATCCTAACCAAAATGCTATAATCTTTTTCAGTATAAGTTGCGTTTTAGCAAGGTACATACAGAAAAAGATTCAAACGTAAAATTATATATAATAACTTTATTATTTTATTTATTGAAGTTATACAAATTATCATGAAATAATACAAATTACACTTCTTTTGGCGCGTTTGGAAAAATTATGAGAGTAAAATTTTTACGATGCGCGCGCAAACTGACTCTCAAAAAGCGATCAAGTCACTTGGTAACCAATTTAATCTTGGTAACCAATAACATATTTTTGGCATTTACCAATAATTCCAAGTAATTTAAATAAACCGTCATCCATTGCATTGAATATCATTACGCTAAATAACATTTTAATATGCTTATTTTTTAAAAATATTATTCCGTAAAGTAAGTTATTATTGTTTAGTGAGAAGAGCAGCATGTACGTATATTATTGTGCACATGCATTACACGACTATCGCGGCGTTGTCCATCGCTGTTCGCAGTGCGATTACATCTGCCATTAGTGCGGTCGCAACATGTGTAACCAACGGGACCAACGCGGACCGCCAACGCAGCGGTGTCGCCGGTCTCGTAATAATAGTACGTATCGTAATAATAGTACGCCGAGGTTCAGGCTAGGCGCCTCGTGCGCCAGGCCACCTCAAGTCCGTCGGATCTGTAAAGGCCCCTAAGGCCAACAGTGGCTCATCCAGCCAAAAAAAAAAAAAAAAAAAAAACGGTGTCGCCGGAATTACGCGAGCTAATCTTCGCACGTGGCCGTAACTATGCAAATGACGGATGTTCGGCGACGCGGCCGCACGGCGGCGCCAATTGGGCGTCGCGATCCAGCCATGTGTCCACGTCTATACAATGAATAGCATTAATAGCCCGAATTACTTTAACCGATGTCTCGAGGGACTTATTAGATCCGGGGAACTTGTTAATTGGATTGTTTTCGCTTTCACTCTTATGGTAGTCCCATGCTCGTGGACTGCATAGAAGCAAAAGCCTTGCGTATCCTGTCATCCCATATAAATATGCCCCAAAACAGTGAAACGGTGGTAGGGCCACGCAGCAGCCTCGGCTGTTGCACGAATGGGCAGGCTCGTCCGGGTAAGTACCGCGACCTCACAGAAGACCGTCAAAGTCGTAAAGTGGAAGTATAATACTTTCGCGTTTCATCTGGTTAGTGAGGTGGCTGGAGCCCAATCTTCAAAAGGTTGTCAACGCATCTGGAACCCTCGGGTGTGGCCGATGTCTATGGGCGGCGGTATTCTCTTAACATCAGGTGAACCGTCTGCTCGCTTGGTAACTTTTCACATAAAGAAAAAGAACAAATCACCTAAAGCCACAAGTTATAATAAATTAATCATTTACAAATAAGTTAAATTGCACATCATAACTTGATGAATGGGCAGTTGCGTCCGGGTAAGTACCACGACCTCACAGAAGACGGGCGTGAAGTGGAAGTGTTATACTTCTGCGTTTCGTCTGATGAGTGAGGTAGCTTTATTAAAAGGGGCAACGCCTCTGCAACCCTACGGTTGTTGCAAATGTCAACGGGCGGCGGTCATGACTTAACATCGGGTGAGCTGCCAGCTCAAATAAAGTAATTATTTTACTGTCTTTCCATGTTTATTGAGTTCCAAGTAAATTTTTTTAGCCCAGCACCCTTTCTGAATTCTATGTGCACGACACTGGGTAGTCCTAAAGTTTCATCACTAACCTAAGTAAACTGAAGTACTAACACTAGAGACAGAGAGCTAGCTGAAGCCTAGGTATTGCATTTTATTTTTGTCTTTGTGATTTTTGATTGCATTCTATTTTTGTCTTTGTGATTTGAATGTCAATTTCGTGTGTTGGAAATATTAAAACGCTTGAGAAATTGGTAGATGACATTTACAACACCTGTCCCCCTACGGGTGTTGCAGATGCGTTGCCACCTTTTAATAAATTGGGCCCCGGCTACCTCACTCACCAGACGAAACGCAGAAGTGTAACATTTCTACTTTATGCTGGTCTTCTGTGAGGTCGTGGTACTAACCCGCATGGACCTGCCCATTCGTGCAACAGTAACCACTGTTTCGTGGCCCTACCATACCAACGTACCTACGTTTCAAGATTAAAGAACTCAAGAAAAAAGAACTTTATAATCTTTACTTGTTTTTAATATATAATTGGCATAAAGTTCCGAATCAACTTCAAGTCACAAAGAGAATAAATTAAAACATTTCTTATCAACTAAATGAGCTTCTGAAATTCGTAAGAAAAGCTCTTTAAAAAAATTAAAAAGAAAATAAAAACAAACAACTCGTCAATTAGCAAAGAAAGTGAAAAGTCTTTATCACAGCGAAAAATGGAGCCATCTCAACATTAATGAGCCGGGGCCTAAGAAAAACACTTAAAAGAAAATTTTGTATCTGTAATAAGTCTCATTATATGAAAAAAATCTTCGTCATCAGTGAGCTTATTTTTATTCCATATCAATCTCCGGCCTTTTGGTAATGGAGTTTTAATCAAGCACTTTTTCTATGATACTTCATAAATGGGATAATAATCGTTGTACATAAAAGTAAGTACGGTAATAAAGTTGGTAAAAAAATAAGGTGATTTTCTTAAATCACACGTAAAAGTGCTATTTGCTTCCGGTGGTTAAAAACGCATCATTGCGGCCAATTGATGGATATAAAATCAATATTTGATCTTACACATCCATATATTAAGTACTGTAACCCGTGGTTTTGTTTTGCTACATCGATTATGTTTAGCCGTAATAACTCAATGTCCAGGCTTTTAATTCAATATTCTAGCAACCTGAGTTCAATTCCCAGTGCCGACACCAATAAAATTGGTGTGTTCAGCTTCAAAGGAATACATCGTGAGGAAACCTGCATATTTTCGAAATAATAACGACTAAGCCCTAATACCTTCTGTATAGTCCCTTGTAGTATTTGTGAGTCTGTCTAGAGGATGCCTTTGCCTACCAGTAGGTAAAGAAAGACGCCGACATATTGTTCCTGTTTTCTTGTGTATGCAGTGAATATTAAAACTTCTTAGATTATCTTGTCAATAAATTCCAACACGCCTTTTCTCCTCCAGCCGATAACCAATAAGCTATTACTCGAGTATTGTTTACAGACTCGTTAAGAAGCAATAAATGTTATAATTGTACTTAATATAATAAAGAGCACTCTTCTCAATATTAATCTTTATCAAATGATATTACATTCCAACATTAATTTTTATTACGATGTTAGCGCCCAATTATGAGTCCTTACTCAGCTCTTATTATAATTAATGAAATATAAAAAATTAGTAGTCGACAACTCTTATTGATTGGCAATATCATAATACTCTAGAGTAGGCACATAATATTCGTCATTTGACGTATTTAAGTTCACTTAATAACTTGAAAAGTGTGCCAAGTACTTTTGGCTATTCTAAGTACCTTCTTAAGGTATTCTAAGCTTCGAAATTTTTGATAAATTTCCTCTCGTCTAATACATGTGTAGACAAATGTGTGATTGCCCAAGTGACGTGTAGACTCTTAAAGGTTAGTAAATTTAGAGTGAAGCGTCGAATCGCGCTAGCGTCAAAGCGCCGATGACAATGATATCCAAACGAGCGTTCAACCCCGCCCAAACAATTAAAAGCCGGGCGCATTAAGCAATTAAAAAAATAAAAGAGAGCGTTGAATAAAGGCGGCCGCACACCGAGCAATTAGCGAAAGCGTGCCAAATGTCGCGTCACTGAATGGACGCCGGCAGCGGTGCAGGTGATGAGAGGAAGCTGGGAAGAGCGTTTCCCGCAGGGCATGGTTCAGAGAAAAGAAGAGAGAAGGAAAAGAAACGATCAAACGAATAAAGAATTGTATAAACGGTTAAAAATAATAGAGAAGAAAGACACGGAGGAGAGTAGAATGAGAAAAAATATTATTTCGCTGGGTCAGACTCTGCTGAATAATCGGATGACCCAGCTGTAGTTAGAATCCAGTAAAATTTTTAACATACTTTAAATTTTTGCGGAAGATATTTATCAAGACCTCGATGCGAAAATCTTACCACGTTAATTATTGTGTCAGTTTACTGTTAGAGATCAATCTCTAACTAAACTCGCTGGGCGATAACTTTGTGTTTTGTAACTAAAGGACTGAACAATAGTTTTAAATGGATAGATAACGTCCAACGAGTGAACCGTAATCTCACACAAAAACAAGCGTATCAGACAAGCCGAATATAATAAAACTTTGTGGCAAGTCAGTGAAATTCAAACACCTGATATCTCTATTTCAATCGTCTGCGGTCAATTTGTCCGTTTAACTACGCTTTACCCAAACAAATCCCTGTTCTTGGGATTGTTTTTGTGAACGAAATGAACTAAGATTGTAAGTAAAATTTGTAAAATAAAATGACCTCTTCCTGATTCGCCCCCAGATGCTTTAAACATTAAGCTAAAGAGGTGACTGTCAAGCCAATAAAAATCTTAACGAGAGAGATAGCAAGTGTTTTGATTCACCGAGCTTATTAAAATTAAACTCTTGACAGGTGGAGGACGCATGCTCGTTTAAGAAATTAATCACATTACAGAAGTTCTAATGCAAATTAAAGTAAAACAGTTAAATCAATGTTTTACTTTGACACATCAGGAAGCAGTTAGCGTTAGTTGTTGAAAGCAAATTTGGCAGAAGTGCTTAAAACTATTGAGACAGTGGAATGTACAGTATGTTTAAATGTATAACTATAAATATACCACACATTCCACCATTGTTTAGTTATTGATAAAAAATAAATTAATATTCATACTTTAATCATTCTTTGTTGGTTTAAGTAATAATTAATTATTATTTATAACAATTATAATGTACTTAACGCAGTATTAATTAGATATATTTCATCCTTGTAAATAGTAGAATTTTTATTGGTACGCGAATGTAGAGTGGAACTTTAGTGAAATGGTATTTTAAACTTACACCACACACCAATTCGAGGGTGCGATGAACTTGCCAAATTAATAATGCGTGACCGTCCATCTCTATGACTGGGTATTAAGGAGCAAATTTGTGTAGCATAGTGGGGGGTGTTCCGATTGCCGCCAGGGGATGTCAGATGCAATTACCATTTCGCCAGAACGGTTCCTAAATCGCCGTGTTTAGCGTGTAACATTGATTTGATTAGAAGTGGCGTTGACTTTGTTCGGACTCGGCTTTCCGCTTAAGCCCTTTTTGTAAAGTATCGGAGTCTTTGACAGGTCTTGTTTTCATCGGAGAGGGGATGATATGATAGACAGTTGTTTCTTTGAGAGGTCTTGTTTCCATCAGAGAGGGGGCGATATGTGCGACAGTTGTTGTCCTTTGAGTTTAATATTGTTAAATGTAATTGAGTGTGTCTCGTCATAGTGATGAATATAATAACCTTTAAATCTTCATGCTTGTAGTGGAGGGAGTGGTTGAAGGCGTCCCCCAAGGTACTACATTTGTACCGAATTAAAATGTTTTTGGAATTTAATTCTGGTGGAGATATATTACATTTTCAAGTAGGGCCACGCAGCAGCCTCGGCTGTTGCATGAATGGGTAGCCTCGTCCGAGTAAGTACCACGACCTCACAGAAGACCGGTGTGAAGTGAAAGTATAATACTTTCGCGTGTGGTGAGTTAGGTAGCCGGAGCGAATTTTCATAAGGTAGTCAACGCATCTGGAGCCCTCGGGTGTAGCAGATGTACATGGACGTCGGTATTCACTTAACATCAGTTGAACCACCAGCTCGCTTGCCACGTTCTGACATAAAAAAAATTGGAATACATAAAAAAATAATTTTTGGACTTTTAGCAATGCTCGGTGAAATCAAGTTTGCTTCTTTTACAACAAAGCAGCACTTTCTCATATGACATATTTATAAGAATATTTGAATACTTTTTCTAATGATATTTAGTTTTTATGTAATTTTTTTAAGTGAGATGGTGGCAAACGAATAAAATTAATGATAACTAATATTAAATAATGCCGATAAAATTATCTACATAACTCTTG